CCCCCATGGAACTTCACTTACCGTCACCTAGCGACCAGAGTCTAATTGAACAGTCTTTAGATCCAGTTATAGCCATGTGGTTGAAGGCTTTGGTCAGAGAAAGCTCTGCAAGAAGATGATTACATGCTTTAAAATATCTTGATATTTGTCTGTACAAGATGATTACGTTGTTTATGATGATGATTATTTATAATGCTGCTGCTGACAGAGTTGAAATATCGCCATCATCATCATTGTGTAATTTGTTGTAATTTCAGTCTAGTTTATACCAGGTCTTAATTTCCAGGTAGCCTGGCAAAGGGCACTGATTGACAAGAATATTAATATGAAGTGTTTTCTACGTACCTTCATCATCCAAAGTAATGTCTATATAAGGTATAAGCTTGACTGACGTCACACTTCCCGTATGCCCTCCCATGCTGCGTAATTCACGACCAGTATCGGCATCCCATAATTTCAGTGTCGTATCACGACTAATAGAAACAAAACAGAAGATAATTGAAGTGTGAGCCGTTTCAGCCGTTTCGATGTTTCTGAAGAAACAGTTGTGCTTTTACGCACTATGAACTAAGCCTACTTCTACTTCTACGCCTACTTCCTTCCTACTTCCTTCCTTAGCGCTTTAGTTATTTTCAGAAGTAGAAACTCTGATTATTATTCTTAAATAAGTTAATACATGATTGTAAACAGTGTAAAAAATATTGAGTTGAACAAATCAAATTCTAGACAGTAAAAGGACAGACGGAACTTCCCGAAGTCTGGGTAAAGATGAAGGTYAACMTGTTCAAAAAGTAAGTGTCAAAGTTTTCTATCTTATTATAGGAAGACAAGTTGTTCGAGTGCATAAGTACATTTTTGGAAAATAAGTGCGTGTTTTATTTTTTTAATGTTTCCTTCATTTCTTTTCGTTCTTTCCTGTTACTCTTCTCCTAAGGCATTAGTAACGACGAAAAGAGAGAGAAGATATCTGGGAACCATTACATTATATAGAGCAATAAGGACAGAATCTGAAGGTTGTACYTAATACATTACGCATACTACGCATGCTCTAATAGTGTTTTGACATTACCCAAGTTTATCCCACATGGCTAAAACAKCAGTAAAGGAATACGCGAATACAATTAATATAAAATAATGTGCAACTAAATTGCCAATGAATGGCACTTCCATAAAAGACGACAATAAAATGCAAAATAAATCAGAAATGACAGACTAAATAGTAGTGAAGTTTTCAAGAGTTTAAACAACAATTGCAGCTCTGCAAAAAAGGTTAATTTCAAAGTTTAGCGTAAAAATGTATTTTTGAGATAACTTGTATGTTTTAGGATATAAAAATGTCAATAATAGCAGGTAAAAAGCATTCAATTTTATTTCATATTTACCCTTTAACAAAACGGAGCTTGCAGGTATTGGTTTGCAATATTGCACACTCGACGATTTCTTGAAGAAGCGACTAAAAGCGACTTTCAAATTTGCAAAATTGCTATGAAAATGTCTTCCAACAATCCAGTTACAACAGGAGTATAGATGAAATCGGCCCAAAACCTTCGTTGAATACATGAATATTTAAACTAAGGTACCAGTAGTTTTGCTGAATAATTTATCAAATATGGATTAAAACCAACTTACATAAGAAGAAAACATTCCACAAAAAGATGATTATTTGACTCTTGTTAAAACTAAATAAAATGCTGAGAATGGAGACTAATGATTCTCTAATGATTAGCCAGCTATGTAAAATATAATGGACAATAAACACCAATGATAAAGAAGCTGACTTGAGGTCTATACCCACAGACGTAGTTCATGGTTTTGTGGAGATATGGCCTGACTGGGTGCAATGTTTTGATTGGCTATGAAACACTTCAAAAAAAATGAAATTACATTGACCACAGCATATTTGGCAAATGTGTTTTCACTGAAATACTTGATGTCTGTATTGTATAGATATTTATGGGTCTCCATGGTATATTCATCAGTATTAGTAACTGACACTTTTAGGATAACAATCTATTGTATGCTAACGGTTGACCCTCTTGACTTTTGTATTTTTACAGTTCATTACAGTGCCAGATCCCGGATATTTCAAAGGGGTGTTCCACTTTGGTTTCGCATTTTCCTAAAACGAACGTTTTTACTGTGCCTCTCGAACTGTAGCAAATGTAGTGTGAATGTATTTAATAAAAATTCATTGTACGATGCGTTTTCATTTTATTTCATTTGTCATTTATTTTATTTTTTATGCTTGAGGGGGGTTCCTAGAAACCCATGGAAGCCCCCCCTGGATCCGCCACTGACATTACACTTGCTAATTTATTKGATCTTAATGAATCATATCATGTTGTTAAGGGATGAGAACTGTGGTTGGTAGCAGTAGTACACACTGTTATGCAGTCAAAATACCACTACTGACATTATCATGAAGTCTTACAAAGACAATATTTGTTTAAACTACAGTTGAACTCTTTGTAAAATGTGGGATAAACACTGGTGTTTGGTTGTGAGGGCAGATAATGTCATCCACTCCTTAGACATGTCGTCCCTTGATGAGGATTGATATAACGAATAATGTACAACTGACTCAAGGTGATTGTTTGATTAGTGCCTCTCACGGCTGTAAATTCTTAGTTTTTAAAATTTCCTCAAAGAAACCCCATCAATTGGACAGGCTGAGAAGGAGAATTGAGATGTTTTTTGAGAGCTGAAGCATCCGGTAAATATATACAAGGAGATAAAAGTCAACTACCGATGGTACAGGGGTGATATCTTAGGGGTGTACCTACCGATGATACAGGGATGATATCTTAGGGGTGTACCTACAGATGGTACAGGGGTGATATCTTAGGGGTGTACCTACCAATGGTACAGGGGGATATCTTAGGGCCCCAGTTTCATGGAATTCAAAAGTACTTGGAATGTTGGAATCAATAACTGTTATTTTACCTTCCAGAGATAGCCACAACGTCATCGCAATCCACATCCAACACTAGGTCATTATGACCCTCAAGCCACTGGACACTAAACGTGGCATCAACCCATTCTTTGTGCTTTTGTGAAGAGGATGTGGAGGACTTTTGATTGGTTATTTTAGTGGTCTTAACAATGGATGATGACGGCGATGTTTTGGGTACAGTTGATGTTGATGWTGATGGAGATGAAGATAGTGATGATGGTGATTGTGATGATAATGATGAATTTGTTTCAGCTGAAGGTGACGGTGATGAAAGAGTTTTCCTTTCTTGTGTTTCTGAACTTCTCGTTGACAGTGTTGTGTCAGTGGATGAAGAAGACGTAACGTGAGAATCGTTYACTACAGAAGATGGCGGCCGATTCTCGTCACTTTCGACCGTGTTTTCATCGCCATTTCTTTCAGAGACCTCTTTTGATTCTTGTCCGTCGCTGCCTGACTCAGTAGTTATTTTATTCTGTTCATTTTTGGCCATCTTTTGGGCATATTTTTGTTCTTTCTCGCGCTCTGCAACAAGTATTTGGAGTTCTTTTCGAACCGTGTTCTTTGTGAGTACCTGAACAAAACGTATATTTTAAATAAATGCGCTTTGAATTGTAAAAATATTGTCATTCTAATACCTTTGAATATTCCTCTTCAGTTAAATCACGTTCCACCTGCTCCAAATGCTCAATTTGACGAAGTTTTTTACGTAATTTTCTGATTTCAATCGATTTCTTGTCCGCCATTTGTCTTCTGGCCACGTCTGTTCATAAGATATTGCGGGCTTCCTGTGCTAAGTGAACTATTCTACAGGTAAAGTATCGAACTTTTCGCCTATAAACAACGATTAAAGTTTCAAAGGCATGTAAGAAAATCATTTTTCAAAATATGTAATCTACTGTACGTTAAAAATTAAGAGAATTTAAGGAACAGATTCTCTGTTGGGCTATCTGTACACTTATGTCAACTGTTGGGTACCCTGTGTTACATCAAACAAGCAACATGGTGGACGAAGTGTATATATTTCTGAGCAGAGATTTTTGTAGAATTTGAGCGGTCTAGAAGCATAATTCATTAGATATATCGTTTATAAAGCTACCTCTGAATTTGCCTTTTCTGAAATGGATAAAGAAGAAGAAAMACGGAAGAAAAAAGTGGGTATTACTTTTCATTTTGCAATGTTAGTATTTGTTGATCAAGAAAGAGAAAACAATAAAACTATGGTATATCTAACTTCAGGTCGACACGGCAGTAAAGTTTCTGCAGAACCCACGTGTTCGTCAGACTCCAATGAGTCAGAGGAGGGCTTTCTTAGAGAAGAAAGGTTTGAACTTCTTGTTTAGTTATCAAAAGTAGAAATATGCTACTTATTAATGAAATATAAGCATATTTTGTCATGGTTTTCACTAGGTCTGTCCAAGGAAGAGATAGAGGAGGCTATTTCTCTGTCTGGTACAGCTGCAGATGAAGTAGGTGTTTGATTTCCAGACTGTTTTTGTTGTCTTTCATATCTTGTTTGCATCTGAAATCCTTTTTTATTCATGCATTGCCACATAAATCAATAAAACAATTTAATTGTTCAAACTAAAGCATATATTTTATATTTTATCATTGTCGTTTTTTTCACAGCACRTAGTCCCATCGTCGGCAGTTGTCCCATCTCAACCTGGGTATAAATTTGATTTTCAATGTAATATAGAAAAAATTGAATGCTGAACTTTTCATTAAGTGTAACATATCGATTGTATTTGCTAGGCTACCACCCCCTCCCCCACCACCTCCTACCATACCCTGGAGGGGTTATTTTGGTGCTGCTGTAATAGGAGGCAGCCTTGGTTACCTGGTTATCAATCTTATAAAGGTAAACCGGCTAATCACAATCTGTCAATCATACAAGCAGCCAATCATAAGCCATTTTATGTCTGTGCTAATCATAAAATCAGCCAATCATGAACAGTGTTATGTTCCTCAGTCATGAAGGCAGCCAATGACTAACAGGGTTATATCTTTATCAATCATAAAATCAGCCAATCATGAACAGTGTTATATTCCTCAGTTATGAAGGCAGCCAATGACTAACAGGGTTACATCTGTATCAATCTTAAAATCAGCCAATCATAAACAGTGTTATATTTCTCAGTCACAAGAGCAGCCAATGACTAACAGGGTTATATCTGTATCAATCATAAAATCAGCCAATCATAAANTGATATCTTAGGGGTGTACCTACAGATGGTACAGGGGTGATATCTTAGGGGTGTACCTACCAATGGTACAGGGGGATATCTTAGGGCCCCAGTTTCATGGAATTCAAAAGTACTTGGAATGTTGGAATCAATAACTGTTATTTTACCTTCCAGAGATAGCCACAACGTCATCGCAATCCACATCCAACACTAGGTCATTATGACCCTCAAGCCACTGGACACTAAACGTGGCATCAACCCATTCTTTGTGCTTTTGTGAAGAGGATGTGGAGGACTTTTGATTGGTTATTTTAGTGGTCTTAACAATGGATGATGACGGCGATGTTTTGGGTACAGTTGATGTTGATGWTGATGGAGATGAAGATAGTGATGATGGTGATTGTGATGATAATGATGAATTTGTTTCAGCTGAAGGTGACGGTGATGAAAGAGTTTTCCTTTCTTGTGTTTCTGAACTTCTCGTTGACAGTGTTGTGTCAGTGGATGAAGAAGACGTAACGTGAGAATCGTTYACTACAGAAGATGGCGGCCGATTCTCGTCACTTTCGACCGTGTTTTCATCGCCATTTCTTTCAGAGACCTCTTTTGATTCTTGTCCGTCGCTGCCTGACTCAGTAGTTATTTTATTCTGTTCATTTTTGGCCATCTTTTGGGCATATTTTYGTTCTTTCTCGCGCTCTGCAACAAGTATTTGGAGTTCTTTTCGAACCGTGTTCTTTGTGAGTACCTGAACAAAACGTATATTTTAAATAAATGCGCTTTGAATTGTAAAAATATTGTCATTCTAATACCTTTGAATATTCCTCTTCAGTTAAATCACGTTCCACCTGCTCCAAATGCTCAATTTGACGAAGTTTTTTACGTAATTTTCTGATTTCAATCGATTTCTTGTCCGCCATTTGTCTTCTGGCCACGTCTGTTCATAAGATATTGCGGGCTTCCTGTGCTAAGTGAACTATTCTACAGGTAAAGTATCGAACTTTTCGCCTATAAACAACGATTAAAGTTTCAAAGGCATGTAAGAAAATCATTTTTCAAAATATGTAATCTACTGTACGTTAAAAATTAAGAGAATTTAAGGAACAGATTCTCTGTTGGGCTATCTGTACACTTATGTCAACTGTTGGGTACCCTGTGTTACATCAAACAAGCAACATGGTGGACGAAGTGTATATATTTCTGAGCAGAGATTTTTGTAGAATTTGAGCGGTCTAGAAGCATAATTCATTAGATATATCGTTTATAAAGCTACCTCTGAATTTGCCTTTTCTGAAATGGATAAAGAAGAAGAAAMACGGAAGAAAAAAGTGGGTATTACTTTTCATTTTGCAATGTTAGTATTTGTTGATCAAGAAAGAGAAAACAATAAAACTATGGTATATCTAACTTCAGGTCGACACGGCAGTAAAGTTTCTGCAGAACCCACGTGTTCGTCAGACTCCAATGAGTCAGAGGAGGGCTTTCTTAGAGAAGAAAGGTTTGAACTTCTTGTTTAGTTATCAAAAGTAGAAATATGCTACTTATTAATGAAATATAAGCATATTTTGTCATGGTTTTCACTAGGTCTGTCCAAGGAAGAGATAGAGGAGGCTATTTCTCTGTCTGGTACAGCTGCAGATGAAGTAGGTGTTTGATTTCCAGACTGTTTTTGTTGTCTTTCATATCTTGTTTGCATCTGAAATCCTTTTTTATTCATGCATTGCCACATAAATCAATAAAACAATTTAATTGTTCAAACTAAAGCATATATTTTATATTTTATCATTGTCGTTTTTTTCACAGCACRTAGTCCCATCGTCGGCAGTTGTCCCATCTCAACCTGGGTATAAATTTGATTTTCAATGTAATATAGAAAAAATTGAATGCTGAACTTTTCATTAAGTGTAACATATCGATTGTATTTGCTAGGCTACCACCCCCTCCCCCACCACCTCCTACCATACCCTGGAGGGGTTATTTTGGTGCTGCTGTAATAGGAGGCAGCCTTGGTTACCTGGTTATCAATCTTATAAAGGTAAACCGGCTAATCACAATCTGTCAATCATACAAGCAGCCAATCATAAGCCATTTTATGTCTGTGCTAATCATAAAATCAGCCAATCATGAACAGTGTTATGTTCCTCAGTCATGAAGGCAGCCAATGACTAACAGGGTTATATCTTTATCAATCATAAAATCAGCCAATCATGAACAGTGTTATATTCCTCAGTTATGAAGGCAGCCAATGACTAACAGGGTTACATCTGTATCAATCTTAAAATCAGCCAATCATAAACAGTGTTATATTTCTCAGTCATAAGAGCAGCCAATGA